GCATTTATGAAACATTGGAGGTGGCTGAGTCTTCACTATTCATGATAGTTGGTTTAAATCACACTAGAAGTGGTTGAATCTTCACCAAACAATAAAAAGGTCAGATCTATCCAACTTATTTTCCCTTTCACACGCTGTGTTATTTCTGAAAAAAAAATTTCTGCACCAGGAATAAAAAAAACTATAGGCAACCACCTTCTAGATCGACTACAGTAATCACCATAATTTTTTTTTTTGCTGTTGCAAAACCTACAGGTCATCACCGACCTACAAACTACCCACTGCACTATTGTTGCAGCACACACATGTCATCTCTGATCTACACACACTCCACAAAGTTGTTGTCATAGCACATACAAGTCACCTCTGACCTACAACCACCACAAGGATCACTTGATCCTATGAAAAAGGAAGGTACAAGTGTTGATCACCTCACATCCGATTGGTTTTTCCCTTTTTTTAGGTTTGTCTTGATACACGACCAGGAAAAAAAATAAAAAGAGGAGAACAAAGCTTCTAAGGTCAGTCCAAAAAAATACCTTGGTTCTTTAGAAAAAAAATATCAGTAGCACGATGAGGAAGGGAAGAAGATAGCGGACTCGATCTCCTTTTAGGTCAGATGAACCCGCTCTGATACCATCTTGTCCAGAACTGAAGTGAAGAGAAGGAAGAAGAGAGAAAGATAGAGGAGAGAAGGATGAGGAAGGGAAGAAGATAGCGGACTCGATCTCCTTTTAGGTCAGATGAACCCGCTCTGATACCATCTTGTCCAGAACTGAAGTGAAGAGAAGGGAGAAGAGAGAAAGATAGAGGAGAAAAGAGAGATTTGAGAGCACCAAAAGATGCTGGCGGTGCCAGCGTATTTAGTATTTATATTAGGGCAACCAAACATAACATAAAGAGAAGGGGAATTACAATGGTACCCCTGTGACACTAACAGAAATAAAAACACAAAGAAAAACAACTTTAACTAGTTTTTTAACAAAAATCATGGTGCTAGTAGAAGTTCCAATCGTAGCAGAATCATAAAAATGAAGAGCAATGAGTTGGTTTATTCTTGAGGGCACATCCTACATTAGAGTTTATCCTTATGGATGTGCAAACTTCATTTTTTTAATGCAAAATCAAACAGAAAACCAAAATGATTTTTCTGTATCAGAGGCCATTTAGAGATCATTAAGAACAAACAAGTTTTTCACCATCACTGTTCTCCTCATTTTACACCATTGCATAGAGCTCTTATTCCTTGTATAGTTTGGTTACTAGTGTTATAATGATTTCCTTGATATATTTCTGTAGTTGTCTGAAACTATAGAGTTTTGTGGCAACATAAAGAAAGAGAGTTCCAACGCATTAAACTAATCGGTAAGCTTCGACTGAGCGTTACGCTGATATTCAAGACACTTGAGAGCGGACATGGCAAAAACACACTCATCTCAATCATCAATTTATCACTTTGAACCATATCCATGAGTATATAGGGGATGATTAATCCTTCCTTCAATCTTCATTACAGTAGAGATTTTGGTTTGTTCTCAAGAAAGGGGTACTTTAGGAATTTTTAGAAAAAATTATCAATCACGTGATGTCACGTGTAAATGGAGTGTGATGGGAAGTTAACGGAAATGGAGGTTTTAGACAATTGTCAGAAAACTTAAGGGTACTTTAAGACAATATGTAAGCAGTAAGGATAGAGTTAGTCAATTTCCTAAACCATAGGGGTACTTTAAGAAATTTGCCCTAAATTTATATATATATATATATAAGCTTGGGTTAGGATTAGGGGTGCAAGTCGAGCAGGTTGGGCTGGGTTTATGGTCAACCTAGGCCCGACCCTAAAATTTGGGCTTAAGGCCCAAGCTCGGCCTATGCTTGAGGTCAAGCCCGATTTTCCCAACTCAAGCCTAGCTCGCCATGTAATTGGATGCACTCGAGTTGGTCTCAGGCCCGGGCTGGGCTCAGGTTGGTCAATGGACCTAGTCTAAAATTATACATATATAAATGTATTTATGCAAATATATATTCATATATTTATGTATGTATGTATGTATGTAAATATGTATGCAAAATATCTATACAAATGTTATATATACAAATATGTATGTTATATAAATATATGTAAATACGAATGCAACATTTACATACACACACATATATACATATATATATATATGTATGTATAAATGTATATAATTGAGTCAGGCTTGGGCCGGGTTCGGGCTACCTAAGGGCTAGGCCTGAGCCCAACTCGAAAAATAAAAAAACCCAACTTCTTGGGCCTGAGCCCAGCCTGAGGACTGAAAATCCAAGCCCAACCTGTGTAAAATTCTGGGTTGGGCCGGTTCGGGCTTGGGCTGGGCCCGCCCAAACTAGTTAGGATTAGGTATGGTTGGGCTCAAGTCAAGTTTAGGTTATTTAAGGGCTAAGCTTAGGTCCAGCTTGAAAAATAAAAAAAACCCAAACTTTTAGGCCAAGCCCAGCTTGAGGCCCTAAAATCCAAGCCTACCTTGTGTAAAATTGCGGGTTGGGTCATCCCGAGCTCAAGTTGCACCCCTAATTGTAGATAACTATAATAAACAATCTTTACTCATGCCTTAATTAATTATTCTCTTATTAGAATCCATTTAACATAGTATAAATAATCCTTTAATTAACTAAGTTTCTTTAGGGAAAAACATTATGTTAATTTAATTATATACTTAGTATACAACTTTAAATTTATTGGCATTCTAAAAAACCTTTAGACTTGTTTACTTTAATTTGATTAATAATTTAGATAATATTAAATTTAATTACAGTATTTTAGTTTAATTATATAATTTCAATTTAGATGATATGACATCAACATGATAATTAATAATTAAATTAGTTTGGTAAAAGGAATATTTAAATTGATCAAACTTAATTAATCATAGTTGTCCATATAAGCATCTAAAGATGGCAATTTGGGGCCCTGAATGAAATGTTTTTTGTCTAATCTTAAATAGGGATGGGAATTCTTTTTGCCCCAAATAAGGGGTGTATAGGGCATGAGGTTTGCATATAAATCTCCAAACCCATCCCATCCTGAATGGGGAGAAGGTTTTCCCCGATCTTAAATCGGGATAGGGTGAGGATGGGGAACTTTTTTTTGCCCCCAATCAAATGACAAGGTTTGCATATAATTCTCCTATAATCTAAAAATAGTAAAAATCAGTAACTTAATTACTTATTTAACTAACTTATTAACTAATAGTTAATTAATTTAGTTAGTTAATAATTTAAAATCAAGCTTATTAATTTTAAAATTATTTTCTATTAAGATAAATTATTTTAAATGATAAAATTCACAAAATTAATAAAAAAAGAAATTTAACAATATAAAGTCAATTAGAGATAATAAAAATTAACACAGACTTATCTAACAATAATTAAGATACATAAAATACTAGTGAAACTAATAATTAACAAATATTATCAAAACTTAAAAATCCATTTATAATGTTACAATGGAAAACATAAAAAAAATTGTCTACTTTCATGCGTTTCTATTGTTTTGCTTAACACAGTGTGTTATATTCATACACACACAATGGGGAGGTCGGGTACCCAAGTGGGGATAGAGAAAAATGGCATCCCTACTCACAACCTTATTAATAATTTATTCACAAAAAACTCCAACATTTATCAAACAATCTCAAAATCTTAGAATATAAACAGATTGGATTAGATTCGAATCTAGGTATATATCCAAATATGATCCGATAATACATATACTAGATCCGATTCATTTGCACCCATGCGGAGCCTTACTTTTTTTTTTTGGTGGGGCATTATCCAATCGGTCTCATTCAAGTTAAAAAATCATTTGATTGGGATGATACAGGCATCCAATTACTCCACTAAAATGAATGTTGTCATACTTGCACCAGCCACCAAGCATAAAACTGTTTTAGCCAACGGGTCATGGGTCAAGTGGTTTGCTCATCTAGTTCAATCAATTTTTATATAAATAAGATTGTTAAAAAATAAAATTCAAAATAACAAATAGTAAATAATAAATTATTCAAATTATTTGAACTGATATAATGCCGGCCGATACTTGTCTGATTGTCTCGCCTTCATGTTCAGACCATCAAAAAATCTAATCCAAATCGTCCTTTCTATCTCTTTCACTTAACTAATATTCCTTCTAAAGCTAGTACATGATTCTACCAAGAAAAGGCTATTATATTAACTTTAATAATACATACCATTTGAGATACGACTAAAACCCACTAATGCATGTATTTGGAAATTCTCATCATATGCGACCACTGTATCAGGATTATGCTGAAAAATCCAATAAAATACGGACACGTTACCCCTTGGGAACATCCGTCATCAAGTGATTGATTCTTGGGGTCACAAAGGCTATATTTAGCTTGAAGGAAAAGGTAGGGAAAGGAAGAAAAAGAAAGAAAAACCTTTATAAATCTTGTATAGCTCTGCATTTTCCTTCTTTTTTTTATTTTTTCCTTCAAACCAAACACAGCCTAATTGAATCGCCTCAGCCTCAGCCCTCAGGATTATCCAATAGTCCAATGCTGGGACGAGTGTCGCAGCTTACGTGAGCGTTTTTTATCAGTGATGGAGGTGATTGACGATAACGATATTACTGTTTTTTAGCTGCAGAGTTGAAGTAATTTTCGAATTCACATCTGCGCCCCACAGCATATCACAACCGTGAATTGATAACATCTCTCGCTGATAATTTCGAGAGATGTTTCAAATGCACGCTGAGATATGCACGTGGGGCACCCTCTGTTGGGCCAGACGTAGTTTCCATTCAGCCGTCGTTACGTGGGGGCCTCCTTTCCTCATCTCTGATCAAGAACAAACAAAGTTGCATTGGATCACGAGCCTGCCACTTGTTCGATTATGGTGGATTTCAGAGGAGAAAGATAAAGATAAAGGAAGAGGTCGCTGGCTTTACGCCATTGCTGATTGCTGTGTGTACAGGCCGGTCCCACGTTCATTCACTTCCATCATGTAAGAGATGTACTGTTCTAGTTTTCTTTTAGCTTCCCGATTAAAAGGTCTCATCACACCAGTAGATGCTGGCTATCAGTGCAGGCGTATAATTGAATTTCATACATCAGCTATCTCCTCCTTGAATCGAATGGCACTTCATATTTAAGAGATTTTTGTGACCTACCACTTAAAAACCCAAAAAGCGAAGAAGAAAAAAAAATACAGATTTGAGGGAGAGAGATAAGATATTAAACATTCCCAGAAAGAGGAGAAGGAGGAGCTTGTTTGGGAAAAATAGGGAGATGGGAGGAGGAGGGATGCTAAGAGCAGTTGGAAAGGTAGTTGGTGCTGGTGTGGGTGGAGTCCAAGAGGTCGTCTCAAGGTCCACCACCACCGCCCACAAGAGGCCCACCACCTCCAACCTCCGCTCTCTGCCGTCTTCTTCCTTGGCTTCTTCACGTAACCTTCCCGTCTCGGCCACATCTGCGACCGCACCCACTTGGCCTTCTAGCTCTCCTTCTCACTGTTTCTGTGACGGTGATGAGTGGGAGTGGGAGCCTGTAGATGGGATAGAAGACGAAAGAGTAAATGGGTTTTATTACAGTAGTAGATATGCTCTGGGATCGGTCCCGTCTATGGATGAAGTCCAAGATGCCATCTCTTCTCTTCGGCAGTGAGTACCTGACCTTTTCTAGCTGCTTCCCTTTCCTCCTGTGTTTCTTTTAGTTTCCCTATGTTCTGGCATCATCTCTTACAACAACCTTGGTCATGAAATAGCACTAAGCAGAACATAAAGCCCAACTGCAATGGTTTTGCTCCTGTAGGGTCCTTGCCCCAGCCTCGTGTTCTCAGCTTGTTGAACATGGATTTCCATCTACATCTGACAAGGATGTGACTTCTCAAATTTCAAACCCAACCAGTTTCTTGCACAGGGATTCTCCACATGGGTCACATAGGGATTGGATTGAGCCTCCTCTGCACCTTCACAATCCAAGAATGTTGCAATCTCATCAATGTGAAAGAGTTTATGATGCTTTTCGTTTATTTGAAGCAGATCTGTCTATTAAGGTGCCTTCTATTACTTAGAATTCTTCTTATATCAATTTGATATCTTATAAATATGTTTTGCTTGGTTTTTCTTGCTCAGATTTCTCTAAATTTCTTATTCATGTTATGTTATAGGAGCAAGAGTGTACACTTGTTAAGAGTTCTATATTCTCAAGCTATTAAATTGTTGCCAGATATTGTAATTCTAAGGCTCTACCACATTTTTGAAAAGAAAAAAAAAAGAAAATTGTTCACTACTATTATTCATTTAAATTATGACTTTCCATCTACTTGAATCTTTAGTTCATGTTAGGCTTGTATGGTTATATATGATTTATTGGAGGATGGTATACTCCATGGTGTACAGAAGGAAAATATCATGGTGTCTGGTTTACTTGAGAGTTGGTCTAAGATAATTTGATGCAGGTAGGTATTTAGGGAGAAGATTTTCTTACCTTTCCTATTCCCACTTTTCAATCTCTTTTTTCTGGTGCAGACCAGCGATTTTGGTTAATGGATTCATCACTTTACAATTTTCAAATTTCTTTAACTGCATCAAAATTTAGTTTTTTTAGGCAGGACTTGATCTCAGGTCTCTGCTACAACCAACTAGAGACTTTATCAACTCCTCTCCAAATGAAACCTTCAGTAAAGTTGAAATAAGTTAGTTCAAATAGGTTGCTCATTCAAAGGGTTGGAGATTTTGATTGTGGATTGGCAGCCTAGTTAATGAAATCTCGTTCTGTGCAATTTCTTTTATTCTTTTTTAATCCCCACTTGTTTAACCTTTATTTTGGAAGTAACTGAAAAACACAATAGAAAAACAATTCATTTTTATCCTCACATTTCTTGCAAGAATTTATGTAGAGAAGAGCCAAATATAAATATACCTTACCATTCCAAACTGGGGATGATGTTTTATATAATTCTGTAGGTGCTATTTTTTTCTGATGTTTGTATCTTTATAAGGATCTCTGATTGAATGCAGAAAATGGTTATTTCATTATCTACTGATAAAGCTGTGTGGAATGCCATCCTGAACAATGAGGTGGTGAGAGAGCTCACACAATCATTTTCTGCAGGTTTGTTAGTAATCTGGAAAACAAATTTTGTTTTTCTTTATGTTTTGATAAACATCATCACAAAAAAGCTGATTCCATGATTATTCCTATGACAGTTTTTTTTTTCTTTTTTTGTAGATATCTCATTGATCATGTGGATATCTTGACTCTCTAGTTGTATCAGTGGATAGGTTGATTTTAGGTGCTATTTTTGTTCTGCATCTTACTTCTATCATGGCACAGAACAGAACATGATGGTGAAACAGGATTCATGTGGCGGACCTGGGGCAAGGCTTAGATGATGACCTAAATTTTGTCTGTATAAGCTCCATTTTCTTCCTTTTCTGGAAAACCGTGGATGTAGATGACAAAATCAGCCTTAACTTCACACATCAAGACATGACTCTGCCATACCTTATCAGTTCACCAGGATGGCATAGATAACAATATCATCCTCACCTCAGTCTCATAGAGCAGTCACATCATCTTGTTCCAAGATGAAGCTAATGTCTGTCTATGTTGAGAAGGGAGGCCCCAAAAAAAACATAAAAGATAAAGCATTGTAGGTTCTTTTTAATTTTCATTGCACACTAGATAAAGAAGAGAAGCTTTAGATCTGATGCTTGTACTTGGTATATGAGTCAATTTGAGAATACTTGAGAACGCCTACATGTCAAAACCTTGTTAACTGAGACCATTCCACCCAAATGTTAATTGGGTTGAGTAATTGGAGCACCTATGAGATATGAAGAAGAATACTGCTATAGACATAGCTTCATTCTTCTGTACCTTCAGACTGCTTCAAAAATTTATGATCTACTCTAATCCCATTATCTTACAGAAACAAGAAGAAGCATTTATTTTATAGGCAGAGAATAAGGATATTAAATGGGAATTTTTTAATAGGGCAGAGATATAATAAAGATATTAAATGGGAAATTTTTAATAGGGAAGAGATACAAGGAAATTTAAGGGGAAGTTTTTAATAGGGCAGAGATATAATAACTTAATAAGGATATTAAAGGGGAAATTTTTAATAGGCTACACTTAAGTGTGGTGCATAAATAAGCTAAAGTTAGAAGTTAGAATGTCAAAATATTTAACCTGTTGGCTTCCAAGTTCCAGTAGTACAAAGGGTAAAGATGTAAAGTTGTTTATTGTTATGTGCAATTGTTAGTAGAACTTCAGATTTTCGGGTGTAGATATAAACAGGACAGGAGTGCTAAAAGGGGAGAAAATGTAGCTTTCAGATTACTTAGGAGAAAAATAATATTTCACACATTAGATTTATCATGTTCTATGCAGCCGAAGATGGTAGCATGCAGAGCTCTGATGTGGCAGAGAGCATTCTCAGGTGGATTTTGGGCAGCGCTAAAGCAAGAATTATGGAACTAATTGAAAAGATTACAGAGCTAGTCAATGAAGTGTTTCAGCCTCCTGAAAGGGGGAAAACCATGGATCTCTTTGACGACAAATTAAGAACCTCCTTCTTGCTCTCTATTGTTGTTCTCTTTGTTGTGGTCGTAACTCGAGCCCAGGGTGCTTGATCATCATTTCATGGCACGAACAACTATTAATACCCACTGGTTTCCTGTTTCATGCCATGATGGCTCATTATCTCCAACCATGAAATATTAGTGTAAACATGGATCTTATAATAGTTGTTTTGACCATCAGCTGCAACATATTGATGGATCAACTGTTTATTCTAGGCTGGTGTTAAAGATGAAGATGCCTCAGGGCATTAATCAAATCGAATGTAAAATCAATAAGAAGAAGATTTAGATGTGCAGCTTCTCATTTTAGTTTTTATCTCCACTCGTCTCTCTTTCAATTGGAATTTACTCCTACTTTAAATCGAACTTACCAGTTGCCGCTCCTAACCAGGGGGCGTTCTGTAGCTCGTCTTCTTGAATGGTTGTGCACTTCATTGATTCGTTCACTTGCACATGGTCTTTTTTTCCTCATCCTTGCGCTAACCGGCGCTGACAAAGAAGTGACGAACACAGACTGAACTCGGCCTCCAGGATGCGATTCAAGCAGTCTGAAAAGACTCCGATCCCAGTTCATGAGAAGATCGGAATCTGCTTCGGTCATAAATCATATAGTTTGAGCGCAGTTTCTTCTGCAATACAATATACCTGCTTTTGGTCAAGAAGCCATTGACCTGGATGTCAAGCCAACGAATCGATGAAACTGTTATGGTTGAACCAGTGATCTGTCTGTCACCCAGAGATAAAGCCGGGTCCATGACTCCATTGACCTGAAAGAATATAATTAAGCTGTCTAAAGGTAAAGGATTCCGAAGATCCGATTAACTTGGATTAGATGCGGCTTTGATCCATTGAAATCGGATTTTAAATTTCAATAATTGTTTGGAGATATCAGCGCCCAATAGGGGCGCCCCACAAAGTCTCACAGCACATCTCATTTCTTGTACTATTATTGGGAGATGCAGATGTTTCTAATACAAGGCTGAAATGTGCTGTGGGACGTTGTGGGGCGCTCGAACTCCCCAGGGGTGAAGCGGATATTAAGATCCTTGGCATTTTTACATGAAGTGGGGTTGTTCTCAGATTAGGGCCACAATTTGGGCCGTTTTAGCCCAAACCTAAACTGGTAAAAAAAATTTCATTGGGGTGTAGCAACTGAGTCCAGAAGTGCTGAACATAGAATGCTAGTCACATACTCACATCATTGTGCACTTAACATCAGAGCGCCACACATTGAGAACATCTTCCCTTAGAATGACGATGAATAGTTTAAGAGATGTTCCCAACGTGCAACTATAGATGTGTAACTTTATATTCAACATTTTGTAGTCAGCAGACTCAGGCTTGTAGGAACCAAGATATCAACTAGTAATAAAAACCGGCTGGTCGTAGACCACAAAAATAGGCCGGGGCCGGTCCTATTATCCTAGTTCCTGCAATCTGGAAACGGGTAATCATCATAGAGCTGTCAATGGTCGGGTCTGGCCAGGACGGGGTGGACCCGGTCTCAAATCAATAAAACTACCATGCAAAGTTGCAAACCCAGTCTCAAACCAGAACGGCCGAACCCAAATAAAACTTTTTATGACCTTTTTAGACAAAAAGTATATAATCGGTTCAGAACTGCAAAAACCGGTATCGATCCAATTATAATTGGACAAAAAAAGGTTAGAACCAAAACCGGTATAATCGGTTCGGTTCTATTGTAGCCAAGGCCCAAGAGCCCAAGGCCAGCTTAGATCCATGGGACCAAACATTCCCAGTGAAGGGACGTGTAGCGAATGCAGAGGTGGAGACAAAAGCGTTAAAACTTAAAACCATATAAGTATCGAAATCGTTGCCGTCTCTATCGCCATCCCAGGTCTTTCCCTCAATCTTTCAACCATGTCATGGCAGCTCAAGCTTTTTCCACTTTCTTCTTTTTCCTTTCTTCTCTCTTCTTCTCTTATTCAATGGGTTCTTCTCTATTTTGTCTGCACCAAATCGTTTTTTCTCGTTTGTCGTTATAATTTCTCCGCCTCCCTGTTTCATGCACATATTTATTTTCGGAAAAAAGGCACCATTTTATCCTTATTCGGCGATTTTCGGACGTAATTGTGTTGATTATCGTGTTTATACATCTCTGTTCAAGCTTCATAGAAAAAGGTACGGAAGCTCTTCGTGATGTTTTCGTTTCATGAATTTAATGCGATCTCTATGTGTCGACTTGTTTCGTTCAACGCTGTTCTAGTTTCCTAATTTGCTCAGACTCTGTTCTATAGGGTCTTTATTTTTCTTATTGAAAGGAGAACTCAGCACTGTCAATTCGTTTACTCGTAGCGAAGAAAAAAAAAATAATTCGTTTAAAGTGAAACCTCCCTCTATTCAAATTGATTCCTCTCATGGTTTCTTTATTATGGTCATGTCTGAGGTAATTCGGTTTCGTTTTTGTGCATTGAGTAGTCATAGTATCTCTATACCCTATTAATTTTGGTAATCCAACTGAAGAGCATCTCTATATGTTTCTTTTAGATTTTTTGGTTGTTTATTTAAACCAGACGTTGATGTAAATTAATCTTGCGTTAATCTGCGCCATTTATTTTATAATCCTGGATTATAGTTATGGCGAAAAGTTCATTAACGTTGACTTAATTTCTCCTTTTTCTCTACTATGACTGAAAGCAGTTACCTTTTGCGCTGTGTCTTTCAGGTTTTTGTTTATTTTTTCAGATGTTGTGAAGTTATCATACGAAGAGATTCTGCTAAGGGAGAAATTTGGTATTTTCCTTGTTAAGAACTCAAAGGAGTTTACAGTTCACGACTTCTGGGTCCAGTTTCTTCAAATGAAAGCTTACAAAGATGTGCTCAGGCTTCGTCATTGCGTTTTAATTTGGTTTATAAGATTGGAATGCTCCAGTAGCATTGCCTTTCATCCTTAGATGATGATACAAAGGACATACTACATGTGATCTTTGTTTCTCTGATGAAACAACTCAGACGCCACTGTAGAATATACAGAATCGAATGGAGAAAATTGTTTTTTGTTGTTGCCATCGTTACAACAGCTGGAACTGTGCTTCAATCGTGTACTCTTCCTTATCTACTGACCATGTCGTTTCTCTTTCCCCCAGCAACAGTCTCATCACACAACGCCTCAGTTGCTATGGTACAGGTTAATGACACTAATCCTCTGGTGAGGCCTCAACAATTTTCATCTGTTTCAGTTTCTTCTCTAGTTTCTCTGAATTCTACCACTGGTTTAATCCAATCACCACCAGGAAGGGTAGATAAGAAGGAAGTATTACCAAGTAGTTCTAGGAGGAAGAGGAGGAAGCGTGTTAGGAAAGAGACATTTGATGAGTTTAAGGTCGCACCCCCTCCACCTAAAACAGTGCCCTCTAAATGGCAGGTAGGATTTATTTTGAATTTCTCATTTATTCTTTGCAGTTAGACTTTGGGAGCTTTCTTAGTTTGTTTTGTTTTGTTTTCCTTGGTATTTGATATAGAAATATGTATGGTCTTTGCCACCTCATGAGGCACTTTTATATGCCAAGAAAGAGATCAACCACGCCCCAGTAGTTACTGATGATCCTGATCTTTATGCTGCTTTGTTTCGAAATATTTCAATCTTTAAAAGGTAAGTATTAAAAAATTCCCATGTTGGTACCTTTTTATTATTTCAGTATATGCAATGCAATGGAATCATTATACTGTGAGTTAAATACGGCAATCTGAATAGCTAATATAATTAAAAAAATAAAAGGAAAATTTCCTTTCACTATTTGAAGGGGTAACTTGGCCTAAGAGTGCAGAGTTGTGTATAGTTTGCCTGAAGTAACTAAAAGTTGTATTTGACGGGATCTTTTATATGGCATATAATTTTGACAACTTTATTTTCAATTCTATGAGATTTTTTTTTGAAAGCATTTCATTTGTTTCTCTTCAACAGAAGTTTCATTTTCCTATAATGCATCCTAATTTTTGGCCTAATTTTTCTTCTGATGGAGGGAAGAACTATCATTAGCTTTTCATGAAATTTCCAACTGAACAATTTCATGAAAAATTTTCAATATCTTATTGTACTATGTTCAACTCACAGTGTTTCTCTTCCATGAAGTACATTTTGTAAAAGGCAAAGTATAGTATATTGAAATAAAACCTGATCAAGGTCCTTTGTACAACGAGAAACTGTACAAGACTACCCACTATGGACCCCCCAAAAAATCCACCCTCAAAAAGGAAGAAGAAAAAGTATCACTTCTAAATACATTATGAACAGACAACCAACTCTTTAAGAAACCTACTGCAGCATTAATCACCACTGCTTCTGAACCTAGTTTCTGCTAAAAAATTCTGCTATATCTTTCCAGCCAGATGGTCCATAAGATTGTAGCCGGGATAGAGGACCAACACAGCTTCCCTTTCCTTGACATACCCTGGACCATCCTTTTAGCAGGTCCTTCACTGACCCTGGAGCACACCAACTCAGATTTAGAGTAGCAAGGAAATAGTTCCATATTGAAGCACTGAAATTGCAATGCAAGAACAAGTGACTGGATGCCTCCAGCTCTCTGTTACAGAAGACACACAACAGATCAGAGGCATTGAATATATAGAAATGCCTATAACAGAGTTTCTATTTATTAGTAGTAACAACTACTCTAGGAGAAATATTATTATGCAGTGCTAATGATTTAATATCCATCTTTGTAGCTCTCAAATATTTTGGTTTATACTCCTACCTATTATCTTGATATACCAAGAGAGATATAGTATCTAATGAGGCTACTATAAAATATCTACTCATTGATGGAGCAAATGTATAACTTCCAAGGAACTTCAATTGTGCTTATATTCATCACCATGGGAATTAGGCTGCAAATGCTGCATTCAGATTCTACCTGTTGCATGAGAAAAAGGTTCAACAAATAAGCTAATGCAGACATAATTACTGCAACTTATTGAAAATGAATAAAGATGATGTTTCATCTAAGTTTAATAGCTAGGATGAGCCCAAACATGATGCCTTTTTGTTGTTGCGATCAAATTTTCAGGAGGAAGAGATTGAAAAATGTTTCCCATGTAGGGGTTGTTCAAGCGAAGATGTTGTTTTGGAGTATTATAGACCAAAACAAAAAAGGATGTCTTTTGAGGAGAACGTTCTGAGATAGAAATAACCCTTGTATGCTCTACTGTGTTGATGCTTTGTGATGACAAAACATTTAAAAGGATGACTTCTCTGTTTGGATGGATGATTTGCAGGAGCCACAAAGCTAAGAAAGATACATGTAGAGGTTTTTTTTTTTTGGTGGGGGTAGGCATGAGGAAGCTATGGGTCAATCTAATAGATGATGAGATAAAGGACTCTCCATTGTGATAGATTTTTTGGTTGCAATGAAGCCATTATTAGTAACTGCAAGGAGGAATTCATTGGTTTCTGTGAAAGGCTTCCAAAGGACTGCAGGTTAAAAATGGACATGATTTAGGTTGATGAGAAATGATTTGAAAAAGTACCGATATGGTATTGAACAGAGTTGCGCTATGTAACATAGTTTATTTAATAGCTGGGGAGATACATCAAAGGCTTGCTTAATATAATTTGGTTCATATATGAGAAGTTATTCTACTTGGCAATAATGTTGTGCTGCAGTCAATAATTGACTTCTAACTTCCTGCTTGCATGAGCCATAATATGTTTATAGGCAGAATGACAGAGATGATTTCTTTGTTGCCACTGGCCTTAATATGAGTTGTTGTACTTGTTAGACTAAAAGTAGTAGACTTTCTCACTCTTTTTAGTTCATAAAAGTTACAAATTGATTTATATTCTGAGTACATGTTGTTAATGGCATGGTATTCTGTCCTAACAGTGGCTTATCTTCAGCTTCTGTATGCATATGGTTTCCATGATAATGGTCATATATAGAAGGGCTATAGATGTTAAGACATAGGAATGGTACCCAACCTGTAGTTCTGTATCGACTCTTATTTTTGTTTTTATTACAAACTAGAGAGATGGTTTTGGGATATGATGTATCTTGTATATCTTCTTGGTCATCAATGTACTGAATTGGTTGGCCAAACAAGTGGTGTTAGCCCAATGTCTATTGGGTTTTTCTGATATCAAGCATTTGAGCCACATCTTTTTTTTTTTTTGAATTCTTGTTCATCCTTCCTGATTTACCAAAGGTTTCAAACTGTTCTGTGATGTGTCTAAAGTTTAAATAGCATTGAAGTTCATACCATTAAGCCAAGTATTACCTTGGAAGTATACTTCTATGGCAGTATCCGTCTATTATCAATAAATTGTTTGGAACTTCTATGTGCCTTACATATTATTGGGGAACCTTTTCTCTCCAAGTTCTTTATTGTATCAGAATTGATGGTTTTTTCTTTATCCCCACTAAACTCTCATTTTCTTACTCTAAAGGGATGGTTTTCTTGTAAGAATTACTCTCTTTTTAGATATTAGGTCCTCTTGGTATCATAAAATTATATATCTATTTTACTAATACTGTCATAATGTAGGGCAAGATAGTCTGGTCTCAGAATCCTATGAATCTGGTAACACAGAGCTGAATTTTTAGGGTTGAAATACTGATGCATGTTTAAATTTCTAGTAGGACAGCCCACATGTAAAGTTTCCTCTTTCTGGATCTGTTGCACTGCTACTTACCATTGAAAGACCTCAAGGTGCAGACTAGCTGGAACCAGCATTGTGTAATGGCCCTTCTTAACCTTGAAAGACCTCATAAAAAATGTCTGATATCCTCATGAGAATTGCTGAATTTGAACGACTAAAGTTGTTGATGGGAACTAAATGATGGAAAATTGAAAAGAAAATAAAACAAAAGAAAGGAAAAACAAAGAAAATAATAAGGATTGTGGCTGGATGAATGGAACATGAGAACTGGGGATGGAGTTAGAACATCCAAACTAAATTCAGGACATAATTTAGATTCTAGGATTACTGGTTAGTAACATTATAGTAAATGAAAGCTAGAATACAAGTTATCAAAGACAAATAAAATTGAAGTGTGATAAAAATGAATAGAAAGTGGAGTCCCACCTATCTTATTGAGGTTAAAATGTGATTATAATCTTAATAACCTAGAACAAGGTCTTGACAGAGTTTCATGATCCTCACAATCAAGAGAAAGTCCTGGAAGATTGCACTGCAACACATAAAGTGAAAGCTTTATCTTTCACTCAACATTGATATGCACTTTTTAGGGCCTGTACTTTGGTAGATAGGGCCTGTACTTTCTATCAGGTGTGACCTAGTATGGTGTTTCCCTTCCCCCTTTTTCTTTTTATAATTCATAACAGTACTTAGATTTAACTGCTAGCTTACTCATATTTAGGTTTGATATAGTTCTCATGTTATATGAGTATGAAGTTACAAGTCATTATGAAATTTGAATAAATTACCGGGATTCTTTTCTAGTATCTCAAATGGAAATTGTGGTATTGACAAGCCACTGAACTGTCAAACTTCCAGGAGCTATGAGCTAATGGAAAACATACTCAAAGTTTACATCTACAAGGACGGAAAAAGACCAATTTTTCACCAACCACATCTATTCGGCATTTATGCTTCTGAAGGATGGTTTATGAAGTTAATGGAGGAAAGCCGGCAATTTGTCACAAAGGACCCATCAAAGGCCCACTTATTCTATTTGCCTTATAGTGCACGCCAGATGGAAGCAACACTTTATGTTCCTAGCTTGCATAGCTTGCAGCCCTTATCAATCTTTCTCAGGGACTATGTGAACATGATAGCTGCCAAGTATCCTTTCTGGAACCACACACGAGGATCAGATCATTTTTTAGTTGCTTGCCATGATTGGGTATGGTAATTGTGCTTCTCCTATTTATGATATACAGTGGAGCCTATTTTATTTTGCTAAGCTATTACAGAGTTTTTGAAAAATTATTTTTCTGTTTAGATGTCTTCCAGTGAAAATAACTGCAGAATTTCTAGACACTATAAATGGGTATTTGGCAGAGATGTATTTCATGAACCATGTGTTTCACTGTGAATCAGGAAAGCACCACCCAGATTAAGCATTGTTGCTTTGAAAAAAATATTTTTGGTGGAGATGCATGATAACTGGGCGTTTAAAGTGCTTTGACTTTATTATTAATTTTTTTATTGCTATCAGGATATGATATCTCATAAAAGTTGTCAGATTTTTCACTTTTTTATGTATCACATCAGAATAGTGATTCAAGATCACCAAGGTTATTTAAGAAGCATCAAAATAGTGATTCACGGATCATCTTTATCCCAAAATTCTAGGCAAATCATTGCAAAAACTTTTCTGCACGAATCAATTTTTCCAAACATGATGCATTCCTGATTCCATAAAATGCTGATGTGGCAACTTCGTGAAATGGACCATATGTGAAATGCATTAATCCCAAACACTCTTCAAGTGACAGGAAGGGAACTTCCTCATTTAAAACCAAAGTCATAAGATGTTTCTAAGTTCCAAAGTTTCAACCTTTTATTGACAAAACCAACAACACCCATTAATAGAATGTTTGTACAATCTTCCATAGGCCTAATTGTGAATATGGTGCAAATAGATCCGCCTAAGAGACCTACCAGACTAAAAATTGTTGATTGAATGGTTGTAATTATTTGAGTCCCTATGCCATTTCTTTCCTTAACATGCAAGATATGTAATGGACCAGATAGACTCATTTGATCAGGTCAAATTTTCAACTGGGAGATTACCCATATTGAGTGCTAAACGATCCTACTCATCATCCTTTATCTCTTTGAATTGCATTATTTTATGAAGCTCTAAGGGACATTTTCCAATGTTGGTCCTGGCTATCTGGGGTTTTGGGACGGGTGGACTGCATACGAACCTAACCTTCATTATTTTGTTGAACAAATTGGCCACTGAGACTCAAACTTGCATTCTCATACTTGTCAGCCCAGGATTTTCCATTTTCATATTTTTTTTCTTGTTCAGCAAATTTTATTTTGAATTTGGACAGTGGCACTAGTTCTTAAGCTCCAGTTTTCTCTCTTTGTTCCATAATCTATAACATCTTATCCTTTGAGATGTATCACAGTGTTGTTTTATTGTTGAGATTTAAGCAAATTTGCTTTCTCTTCTCTTATGCTCCATATATGTTAATCAAGTCCTAGTATCTCACCGATGTTCTTACTGTTATTGTCACTTTGTTTTAATCTTCTGCAGGGTCCATACACTGTGACTGCGCATGAGGAATTAAGCAAAAACACCATAAAAGCTCTATGCAATGCTGATCTATCTGAAGGAATTTTTGTTGCTGGAAGAGACGTCTCCTTGCCAGAAACCACCATAAGAAATCCAAGGAAACCTCTCAGAGAAGTTGGTGGGAAAAGAGTTTCTCAGCGCCCAATCCTTGCCTTCTTTGCTGGAAATATGCATGGTAGGGTCCGTCCCATCCTGCTCAAGTACTGGAAAGGTAAAGATGAAGATATGAGGATTTATGGTCCTCTACCAAACAGAATTTCCAGGAAGATGTCTTATATTCAACATATGAAATCAAGCAGGTTCTGTATCTGTCCTATGGGCTATGAGGTGAACAGTCCCCGGATTGTTGAGGCGATATATTATGAGTGTGTTCCAGTGATCATTGCAGATAATTTTGTTCCTCCATTTAATGAAGTGTTAGATTGGAGTGTATTCTCAGTGATTGTTGCAGAGAAGGATATACCGAATTTGAAGGATATCCTCTTGGCAATCCCTTTGCGACGGTACCTTTCTATGCAAACAAACGTGAAGATGGTGCAGAAGCATTTTTTTTGGAACCCAAGACCAATCAGATATGATATCTTCCACATGATTCTGCATTCAATTTGGTTTAATAGGCTGAACCAGATCCAACTTCCACAATGATAGTAAAATACTGAGAGTTTGTTTGGGTGAAAATGGAATATGTCAGATGTATCATAAATTAGTCTTTCCTAACAATGTACAGAACAGACTCACTCAGAAGAGAGCTGACCTTGGAAGACGAAATGGATGGAGCAGGACTACAAATTCAATGAAGTGTATAATTCTCATTGTTATCGGAGTGAAATAAACGGCTCTTAGGGCTACTCTAGAATGTACAGTTTAGACAAACAGAGCTCAGAGCAGGCATGAATATCTGAAAGGAAGAAAGGCTGACCAAAATGAAGGTCTTGTATTGTAGGTATGGATTTAGTTGTGGCCATCAATGCTTATCTAACACTGTTGCATACATTCATTCATGCAGGACAGATTAGTGACATGGGGCTATTAATTTATTTGACTGTATGGAACTTGATATAAGCATTTGTGCTATATATGATGTATAGATACCATTGTATGTAAGGTATATAAACAATCATCCTTGTTACAGCTATTGCCCGCTTTGTATTCAAGGGCTTTTAATTGAATTAAGATTGTAGATCATTTTACTAGGATTCTGCTATTGCAAAAACTGTTGGATTCTCACAGCCATACTCTTCAGTTACAGGAAAACAAATATGAAAATATCCTTTTGAGCATTGGGAGGCTGAAGATGGTTAGAGACTATAATAGATGTGTACCTGTACATGCCTAGCATACTGGTGCCTGATACATCATTCATCAGATATGATACCGAATTATGCATGGATACTTATAGATGTACTTTACTGCATTAATACTAACAAAATGTGTAAAATGGTATGTTTGAACAAGTTATAGTGTCATACTATGAAGGATCTGCTCATGTTAGAAGTTTAGTTAAATTTGGCAAAACATAATTCTTGGGAAATGACATTTAGCTTCAAAAAAACTCTTATAGGCATAAAAGCATGGTACAAGCATATTAGATACTTGTATCTGCATCAATGTCTAGGATTTTAGCAGGTAACAAAACATAAAAGAAAGATGGCTCTTATTTACTTCATTCTCCCCATAGTTCCTTTGTTTTTCATCCTTCAAGGACAAATTGGGTCTTGCATCCTGTACTGTTGCTTGTTTTATTTCCATGTGAGATTCAAAAACTATGTTTTTAGTGTTTTTTGGTCCTGCTCCTTGACTTCTATATATGCTTTTCTCTTTGAATATTTCATTTCCTTTTGAAATCTTTTGTGTACTCCCATGAATTTGAGAAAAAGCATTGGATAGGTACAAAATGTTGGTTGAGCTAATAAGTGCTGCCTAGGGGGTTTTGGGGTGCAAGAGAAGAAAGAGAAGTATGCATCTGGGGTTGGCAACGAGGCCACATTTCACACCTAATACGAGCTGGCCGTCTCTTATAGGTGCACTTTCTCTTACTTTCCTACAGTTTCCTATCTTCAAGTATTTTCTTTTTTCTTTCTTTTTTTTTTTTTTTTTGAGTTGGGCGCTTCTCTGCTGTAAGAGAGGTCTTTTTATAAATGTGTAAAATAGAGGGATGAATCATCATTGAATCCCAAGAAGTAAGAACAAAGCGTCTGAATCCATTTCACACTCTTAACATTGTTACAAGTGGGGGCAAAGTCTGCTTTATTGTATGTGCACGCCTTTGGTTGTATCTAATTTTGATTAAGTTATCTGCTTCAATTTTCACTCTCCCTAAATAGGTTTTTGGTTATTTATACTATTTTCCAACGTGCAGAACGTTTAATTTGTTTTCTTTTAGGATAAAATACAAAAATCTCCCTGAAGTTTCTGACAATAATAAAAACCCCCCCTATAATTTCATTTTAACAAATATCTCCCTTGAGCTTTTGATCAACTCAACAAAGACCTCCCTTTCATCACTGTCCCAGATGGAAAATGTAAGATTGATGCACCAATTTTTTTCAAATGCCCATTTTATCCTTTTATAAATTGTTTTACATATAAAATTACTGAAATAACCCCATTTTAACTTAACAAAAACCTCTTTTAACGATCATTTCAATAATTTTACATATAAAATTACTGAAATATGTTTTTTTTGTTGAGTTAAAATGGGATTATTTCAGTAATTTTGTATGTAAAATAATTTATAAAAGGGTAGAATGGRTATTTGGAAAAAACTGGTGCATCAATCTAATGTTTTACATCTGGAACAATGACGGAAGGAAGGTTTTTGTTGAATTTCTCAAAAGTTAAAGGGAGGTATTTATTAAAATGAAACTATAAAAGGGGTTTTTATGATTGTTAGAAGCTTCAGGAGAGATTTTTGTATTTTACCTTAGGCATTCAAGATAAGAGAGCCATTTCTTGGATTCACACTGTTGTTGCCTTAGAAGTGGTTACAAACGGATAAATTCTGGATTGCATATTCACAGGGATGTCAACGGGTCATCACTCCAACCCGACCTGACCCCACTAGTTTGAATAGGGGCACCGAACCCACCTCACCCTGCTCGACGACCATGAACGGTGTCACTGTTCTTAGCGAAGGCCATATCTGTATTTTTCCCCGGGGTTATACTAGCCTGTGAGAAACATAGGATACGAGAAAAGTCAGACATGAGCTAAGTAGCTAACCCAATCAAAATCTGATCTGAAACCCAATTAAAAGATTGAACCGGCCGACCTGGCTCCACTAGTTTCCCATTGGTGAAACCGGTGATCCATGATTCAGAGGCAAAGGTGGTTCAGCCTCCGGATCGATTTTTAAAACATTGTTCTCATCACATTTATTAGTGAGAAGTGAGAAATACGTTAGATCTACGAAAGACCATCAGTCTGGCTTTCCTTTCACATTGATCAATGTTTGAATCCGGATGGTAATTTGGAGAATGTGAGAATCTCCGTGTGGGCTACTGCAACTGAGTGAATTGACAGCCTCCGCACATGATGCAAACTCACAGAACACCACCGCCGTGTATTAGATCTCTCCAATGACACCGTTGTAAAATTCTATACTTGGTATACTTTTGTAGCTGTTTGTTTTCTATGTAAAAATTATATTGAAAATTCATGTAATCATGTTTTTTGGTTGACTTTTACCCTAATAATTTAGGGCTATTCATGGGTTAGGTTGGGTCGGTTTATTGACGTTTTTCTAACTGACCTGACCTGGTCGGTTTACCTAGAAATGAAACCGAAACCAACCTTATACTAAGTAAAACTGACTTGATCGGTTTGAATCAATTTGGGTCGGTTTGGGTCAATTTTGTGAATGATTCTTTTGGTGTGAATGGTAAAGGATTCAAGTCTAAGAAGCGAAGACTGGATGTCTAAAAATTAAAAATGATTTGATGGATTAAAGCTGAAGTTTTATATATAATATGTATATTTCCGAAATAAAACTAAAATATACATATATATATATATATATAATATCTGAAATATATTATAATAAAACTGAAATATATCAGATATATATATAATATATCTAAGTCGGTTCAGGCCAGTTTGGTTTCGGTTTTCATATCGGTTTATATTTTTTTGTAACCCGAAACCGACTAGTGTTGAAGAAAAATCGGCCGACTCAGGTTGGGTCAGACCGGATTAGTCGGTTTGGGTCTTGTTATGAACAGTCTTATCGATAATCGATATAAATGATACATTGATAAAATTGATGTACTTTTACATTCATTCTCACTTAAAAATTCTCAACGGTTTAGCAATTTTAAACCGACGAATTTTTACACATTGGATTTTTCCATGATTGGCTTTTACATGATGGATTTTTTATTTTTCCATCGCATTTAAATACGACTTAAGGGGGGGGGGGTTCTTCGATCTGGATTGATTTTATTGTTGTAATTTGTACTAGCACAAATGCATGGAAGTGCAAATGAAAAAAAATGTAAGTTCTCGTTTAATTTTATTTTGGGTTTTACTTTATTTTGCTTTATGTCTTATTTTATCTCATTTGCATTGCAATCAAACAACACTTCATTTTGCTTCATGGTGATTCCCCGATTTTCATGCTATTCTGATTTTTGTTGGGTGATCAGATGGCATCCTACGTGGCAGGGGACGAGAAGATGTTCTAGTGCTTAAATGAAAAATAATCACTATTGAAAATCAATACCAAACAATCTCAAAAATGATTTCTAAAAAATCGACTGACATGGAGGAAATGATACCAAATAACAAAAAAGAATAATTTTTGGAAAATCACTGATTTCAATAATCATTGATTTTGAAAAAATTAGGTGGGAGGAATAATCTTTGATGCCAAACATCACCCAAATGTGGTGATCCCTGCCCAGGCTGATTTTAGAGATCGATTTTTTTTTTTTTTTGCTGATTTCCCAAAAATTGGCATAATCAGCCAAACAAGCAAGGAAAAATATAACTGATTCTTCAAATTCTGATGTGGACCCTATGTGACACCCATTTTTGGGAAAGTGGTATCCATGCCAAACTTCACCTAAATTGGGATGGGTGTAAATCTTTTTATAAAGTAGTATGACCTTTTGAATTGTTTCTTTCATAGAAAAGTGCAACCAAGATATAAGCTCGTTACAAAGCAACCCCTAAATCATTACAAAACACACCATCCATACATAACAAGGAGAGGTCATTGCTTGCCTTGCTTGATGCCTAATAATGGTTTGGGTATTATCCACTTTGAATATCTAAATTTGAGGGAAAAAATAACAAAAGTTAGTTTCCTTGCATTCTGGTAATAAGTTGGGCATATCTTATCTAAGGGTGTCCACAGTTTGGTTAACCGAATCATAGCCAAAATTTTCAAACCGAACCAGTCCTACTGGTTTTTGATTTCTTCGAACTGAAACCAAACTGGTACTACTAGTTAATCGATTGGTCGGTTTCGGTTTTTTACCATTTTGATTTTTTGGTTCTTCGATTTTTTATATTTATAATATATATTATATAAATTAGACCTGATCATGGGCCGGGTTCAGGCTGGGCTTTGCCTCTTTATAAATAAAAAAAATACTAGGCCCAAGCCCAAGCCTGGCCCGGCCATCAGGCCTAGATCTTGAGTCTGAGCCCAACCCTATATAAAGCCCAAAGTCCAACTTTGATAGGTATTTTATAACATATTAATTATATGTTATATAATATTTTATACATTTAATATATATAATACTTTTTTGCTATTAATTTTATTATCACAATATATATTATGTATTACTAACTCATACATTAAATTTCTGTTATATATTTAATATTATCTGGTCAGGCTTATTTGAAAAAGCTTGAGCCCGACCCAAAAAATAGTCGGGTCCATTTTTTAGAACCCGAGCCCTAGCCCAAGGGTTTAAAATTTTGTCCAAACCCGATTTAAGACAGGTCAGGCAAGGGCAGCTCGTCAGACTACCCGTCACATAAACAGGTTTAATATAAATATATGTATAATATTATATTATAAATAAGAAATGATATATAATATATTTATAAATAGATTAACTGATCCTTCAATTTTTTAATTAAAAATATCAAACCAAAACCGAACCAATTGATTCGATTAACATTCAATTCGTTTTTTCGATTTTTTTGACACCCCTGATCTTATCCCAATTTTGTAGCTAGCGATCTCCCCAGGGAGAACAGATTGCACTTATTGGTTGATTATAATTTATATCAGCATCATCCGACTACTGTTTTGTACTTATGTCAAAAGTTTTTTAACGTTTTGTGGTTGATTTTTCTTATTAAAATCTTATTATCACTACTATTTTCTTCCAATTTCCCTGGCTATGATTCGGCCACAGTCATGACATGACATGAACATTAAAAGAAAGCATAGAAAAATGAAAGAGAGAAAATCACACATATACAGACAAAAGCAGTGAAATGAAGAAAATGAATAGATCCATTGAAGAACTCCAGTCCAGAGAAGACAGGTAGTCCATCCATTCAATATTGACTGGTTAGACCACCTAACCCAGAGACGTTGATGCATGAAGGAACTAGTTAATTGGTGTATAATAGAATAGAACCATCAATTGAAGCAAAAAGTACAGTGATGTGATTCCGCATGAGCTGCCCTGATTTTCAGAAACAAAAACAAAACGAGAGATTGTTAAGTCAGCCATCCGTCCAGATATCAATGAGCATGTGAAACACAGAAGAACCGGACCGTATTCAGATAAAGTTATTGGTTGGGAGTTTTTAATGTGTCAGAAGTGATCAAGTCTTCTATTATCAAACGATCAAAGTCTTTGAATGGTCAAGAAGCTTGGAGTTACAGACAAAATACCAAAGCTGGTTCATGGGTGGTGCACGACGAGGACAGGAGGAGTATGAGCTCCAGACAAACAAAACCCTTACTCTGATTTATTCTCCCACACTAATTTTTACAAGTAGAATACAATTGTTCCCAGTAAATTCATGAGAAAGAGATGCAATTAATTCGAGAAACACTTTGTGATGGCTTCACTGAAAATACAAGCCCTCATCAAGCTCAAAAAATTTGTTCATCCACTCCAAAGTGAAGGACTCTTCGCTTGAGAAATCAAAGAAGTCGTCCACGTTAAAACTGGTATCTGATTCTCCAACTTCTTTGTTACTTTTTTCACTCACTTCGAGTTGATCTATTTCTTCCCAAGATTTTTCGGATTTAGGTTCATCTGTGGTCGTTGAACTTTCAGATGGTTGTGGTTTTGGTTTCGTCTGGTTTATTTTCTTGCTCAAATGAGAATTCCAATAGTTCTTAATCTCGTTGTCCGTCCGTCCCGGCAGTCTTCCAGCAATCAATGACCACCTAAAAAGGAACACGATAAAAGATCCGTGTACCAGTCAACCAATTAAGTAAACTATACTCATAAACTGTTCGACCAAACACTCTAGGATTTTAATTAGAAAAGTAATTAATTGTTCAGATCCTAAGAAAAAAAATTAAAATTGGTGCTAGAGCTGTAACTAGTAGCTGAATAATCTCTCTATCTCTCTCTCCCTCACCTGTTCCCAAGGAGTTTATGGAGTCTAAGTATCAAGTCTTCTTCTTGGTCTGAGATATTGCCTCGCTTGATGTTGGGTCTGAGATAATTCAACCATCGTAACCTGCAACTCTTCCCACACCGATTCAGACCTGGAAAAACATGGGAAACCATATATCAAGCTCAAGCTCGAGTGAAAATCCAAGTCCAAAGAACAATCAAGTGCATGAGTGTAATGAGCTAGTCGGACTGCACCTGCTTTGGCTGCAACTAATTTCCACTTCTTTGCACCATGGATTTCAATATACTGAGCCAGCCTCTGGTCTTCCTCGGCCGTCCACGCTCCTCTATTCACAAACTTCTTAGTGGGTTCCTCGTTCTTCGGTGCCATGAGTGTCCGTGTGTTTGTAGGTTTGTGGAGAAGGGTTGGAGAGAGAGTGATAAAGATCAGAATCTGTGGGTTTGTTATATACGAGTCTTTTCTAGCTTCTTCTATCTACCGTTCTCGAGGGAAGAACCCAACTACCAATGTAGGAGGAGGAGACGGGTGAGTGAGAATGGTGCGTGGAAAAATCAGAAGAGAGGGGTTGTTGCTTTGATGTTGAAATCACTCAGAAAGGCCCATACTTGTCCTTTTGTAGAGAGATCCATAGCAAGGTTTTAATACTTTCGTTGCTAGACCATAGTTTCCATCTAGAAGGGCTAATTGGGGTATTTTTACATGTGCCACAAATTCTGAAGAATCATGATTAGGAGTTGGGCTCTGCACATTTTTTTCCTGCACTTCCGTGAATTTCCAATTTTCCATCTATCAAACATATCCCCTTGATGGCACCGAGGAAGGAATAACCAATTTAAGCATTCGTCACGCCAAGAGGAAAGGTCCAATGCGAATCCCAATGCAGTTAAAATGTCAAATACCCATATTCTATCCATGAATTGGAATTAATTCCGAAATGACACCTTTGGGCCTACAAATTCTGATTCCGGGCTGCCCAAAAATTTTCACCCTCCAAACAGGCACGAATTGGGTAAAATAAAACCCACCACAAATAACTCAAAGAAGCAATTCTTTTGTTAAGTTCCTCCGTGTACTTTGGAGAGTGGAGACCAGCATTCTTTCGTTCCTCCGTGGCATCTATTGATAGATCTTCACTTTGTTATGGGGCTATAGATGCTGAAGAGTCCAAATTGGCCGTAGATACAATAAAAAATATTTATGTACAGCGCAAGCGAGCTGGGCAACCTATCATGAATCAACACCTAAGTATGCATGTAGCCCTAGGAAGCAAAGAAAAAAAAAAACACCTTAATATGCATAAGGCGTGAGTTCGATGGGCCCCATGATAATTCGTCAAGCCAATGTGTGTGATCTCATGCCCATCAAGTTCCTCCAAATATGATGCATGGGATCAAACCCCATGCAACTGCATATTCTCCGTAGTAAAATTAGTAGGCCTCACGTGCACCCTGCTATGTCCCCCACGATCTCCTTATCCCCATTTATGTAAACCAGAAAAGAATGAGTATGAGACATACATAAACTGAATAATACCCCATTTTCTTTTTTGGACCTATTTGAGTCAACAAAGTGGAGCTGCAGGTGGGGTCATGATCTCATGGACAGCATAGGGTTTTATCTTTTTTCTTGTTTGTATCCTCATAAAAAAAGGGGTTGATCTTTTTATCCCTTTTGAGGGTTAGGTATGACTTTAGAGTATTGTTTTCTAAACTCAATATTCCATGTACTTAGACCATGTGGATGAATATTATTTAGAATTAATAAAATAATGGTGGAATTAAAAAGTGTGGAATTTAACTGAAGCATGTGGCATAATTATGATTCATAATGCTTTCTTGAAATTAGAGTTGGAATTTAACGGAATGATGATTACATTAAAAAAAGGAGAAAAGCTTGAAAGCAGTACTGAAGCTTTTAGCCATTTGATCAAAACCTTAAAAGATATTCGACCAAATTTCTAGATAGAGTGGCTGTTCACAGGCAGGATGGTCAATGGGCCAACTCGGGTTGGCCCAACTTAGCTTGAAAGCAGCACTGAAGCTTTTAACCTAACTTGACCTGATGTTCAACCCAAATCAACCTAACTCGATTTTCTTTCTTTTTTTAGTTGGGTTTGGACCATGATTTTTAAAATTAGATCAGAAAAATCGGAAATTAGTCAGGTGATTGGTTCTGTTTTACCCCAGAATTGTTATTTCCCCAAAAATCATTGATTTGGTCAACAAATTGTTAATCTAGATGATTAACGGTTTAACAATTTTTTTGTCAAAACAAGCCATTCATTACCATTCGAACCGAAAACTGGACCCCTGACTGATTCGTTGTCTGGTTCAATTTTAAAAACCTTGGTTTGGATTACTCTAATCCAAGTTCCTATCCTTTTTATATGTAAAAAGATGACGCCATGAAAAGTAATAGATCTAGAGGCAACATTATTTTATATGCAACTCAATCAAAGGGGATCTATATGTATATATGTGTCTCTAATAATGGTTGTTTGTGCCGGGAAGTTGGCCTCTAAATTATACTCTAATAATTAATTACCATCATGATAGAAGAACTCACATTAATTATCAAAGAATATTAATTATAAGCTATCAAGGAACTGTTCAAGCTTAAGCTATAAGGTGAGGTCTTAATGGGTTTTTATTCTCTAACATGCTCCATCATGCAAAACTCCATTCGGCTTGAAGCATGGACAAGCACACGACCACACGTTGTGCTGAAATTTGATTAATTATAATAGGTGTGGCAAGGATCGAACATTAAACCATTTGGTCAAACAGGCTTTGATTCCATGTTAGAGAGATTTGTTAAACCTAAAAGCTTAAGGGGGTGTTGGACAACCTGATTGGTTTTGTTTTAAGAAAACAAAAAAATTATAATTACTACATCAAAAATATTATATTGTTCTTCCTGATGTAATAGTTGTTTTTTATTTCAGTAACAAAACCAACCATGTTGTTGAATACCCCCTAATTAAGTTGTAAGGCGAGGTTTCAAAATGAATTTTTTTATTATCTAACATAAGCAAATGCTACAACAACAACAACTATTATTATTATTATTATTATTATTATTATTATTATTATATGGATACATTATTATTTATTTATTTATTTGTTTTTTGTTGAGAACGTATGTTCCTAGGTAGACCTAGCAAAAAGGTGACCCAACCTATGAATCCGATCCAACCCAACCCGAAAAAACAGGGTTAGGATCTCATATTTAGTTACCTGAATGTGATAATGACCCGACGCGACCCGACTCAGGAAAAACTGGGTTGGGTTGGGTTGGGTCATGGGTCAACCCGCTGACCCGATTGTCAAGTCTAATTGAGACTAATTATGCATTCTTAGAAGTTTTCACTCTTTAATTTATTCTATTTAGTCTTTAAATGTTCAAATTTTTTTTATTTTATATTTGGAATTTTAAGGTTAATTCCTTTAATTTTGGCATTTTTCATGTAGTTTTTCTTTATTTATTTTTTAATTTCAATTATTTTTTGAGATGACCCAAATTGACCTATGGGTCAACCCTAACCCAAACATTTAGGATTAGAGTATAGCATTTGATAATCCAACCCGAAATTCAATCTGAAGTGTATTGACCCAACCTGAACCCAAACCCGACCCACCCAACCCAATTGGCAGGTCTATTCCTAGGTAAACATGGTTGGATTAATAGGTTTACTTTCTAGCAAGAAAAGGGATGCATGGTCATGGTCACAATTCACTAAATAAGTAAATACCAGCTGGTTGACCACCCTAGTAAACCCTCTATCACCTTTGCAATTTGCATAGGTGGAAATTAATTCTTTGCATTTTCAAAGAAAAAGAATGTCTATTTGAACCGCTGAAAGGCAGGCTAAATTAAAGCAAGCAATAAAGGGCGGAAGGGGACAAGTTATCCTGTTATTGTGAGTATACAGAAAAGCAGTTGGATATATATATATATATACATGATGATACCTTACCAACTAATGGACTACTTTCTGACACGACACCGTTCTTCTCTCTCATAATTCACTACAGACGGGTGTTAAATGAAAATAAACAGTGCATTAATGAAAAGATGAAGCAGAGAATCTTCATTAATATATCATTTGAAATGATACTACATCTGTGACCGTTGGATTATATTTTTTTTTATTTTTATTTTTAAGTAGAACATGGCAAATGATAAGACAAGAGAGAGTACTGCATACCTCCTGTTCAACCAACCAAGGCCAAGTGGTTGATTGGTCGTTCAGGGTTAGTTTTGTACTTTTGTCGTTAAAATAATAATAAATGGCACAGATGGACCACTTCTGAATTCTGATATGATATTACCATCATAACATCCCAAGGGTGGTTGGTTCCATACTTCCATATGGATGGGCCCGGTGTACAGGTATGCCGGCCCACAGCCTAATGAAGATTTTGGTTATGTTTGACTCGCAGGAATTAATAGGGCCTGCAATCGGAATTGGATTTGGAATGAGCTACTCCGATTTGTGGAATTAGAATTTCATTTTCATTTTTGATAGAATGCCCTCTCTTACCAATAAGATCCCATTTCTTTTTATTCCAATTTTAATTCTCATTCCTATTTAAATTAAATAGATCGTTTCAATTCTGATTCTGATTCTAACTGCAACCCAAAAGGGAGTTTTGAAAATTTCGTTTCTTTGTCAGACCAATATTATAATCAGTCAGATCAGGATGATGGCTCACCAGTTAAAACTTAAAACTGCTTCGGATCTGCTGTAAACACGAGCGACAACCTTAAGATAGATCAGAATTTTAATTTTGAAAAATCCATGCTGCAGGAAAGATGTGATATCGGAAGAGCTAATTGGTTGCTTGGAATCATTGCCATTTTTTTCTTTTAACAACAGCGCCACTTCTTAAATCCGTTTTTTCAGCCATGATTGATGTTTTTGAAATTTGAGAAAATGTCTCTTTTGGTGTTTTCTCAATTTTTTTTTTTTTTTTTTTTTTAATGTTACCAGTAATAATATATTAATGTGGTATTGAAAAACACATTGGTTCCGAAAAAAAGCCTGATTGCTTACATATTTTTTTGGCATCGTAGCTAAACCTAATTTCCAAAATTCCAAACTTCTTTTTTGTGGTATGAAGACACCAGGTGTGTGTCCCATGCGTGTTCATACATGATTGGGTTACACAAAGCCTTGCCCCCAAGGCCCCAATCATTAAATAAATTATATCGACTAGATTTATTTTGGATTTCGTGGTAAAGATTTTACTTTTAAGGATGCGTTTGGTTGAAGTGCAAATGCTAATGCATTGCAAATTTGCACTTTAGGCTGAATTTGGAAGCAGTACAAATGTAAATATGTACAGCATAAATATAACACAAAATATAAGGTTTTACACTCCATATATTTGCGTTTATATTCTTTCCAAATTCAGCCTTAGTTTCATATTTCATCCACTTGCTTGGTAGGGGCTTAAAAATATACCAATTTTCGATGCAAAAATGTGCATAGACCAGGGTTTGCATCCAAAATAAAAGGGAATTTTACTAAGTAAAATTTGTTATCTTTCTCGGTCGGTCAAGCACAGCTTTGGG